ACCTTGAATGCTTCAGGTCGTGGTACAATTTTTTGTTAGCTGTAAATCAGAGAAAAATAGAAAGACAAATCATGCTTCAGATCTGTGATGTGTATCACTACCTATTTGACTGAGTCTTTGTTGTTTATTACCAATGTTAATTAAGACTCTGAACTCTGAAGGTGCAGCGCAGTACGCATCCGACAAGGGATATTTGAGGTACAAAGCAATAATAAGTTATTCTAAGGTGACTCAAGTGTTGGAATGCGATCCTCCAGACTGGAAACCTGATGAAGCAATCTTGAACAAAGTACTTTTTGAAAATAAGAAAGAAAAAAAAGCCCTTCTTGAGATATGGGTTAACAAAGCAGGCGACATCTCGTTCATCACTGTAGCAACAGAATCAAAAATTAAAGTATTAAAAGATACTTTCAGCGGTTATTTGGGATATTTAACTTCTTCGTTTTCTAAGAAGAAAAAAGACGAAAAGAAGCCCGATACAGAATACTCTGTATGAAGTGACTGAACAACTTGGCTGACCAAGAACAGTCAACATTTTCGTCTAGTAATTGCCTCTGGGATGTAACCTCGTATGAAAGTATAATATTCCAAATAGAAAATACTTGGAACATGCATAAAGAAAATAATAATGATTCCTGAAGATAGCAGATGTACCAAAGAAGTTTAGAATCGTAAAGTCTGTCAAATGTTTTATCCAACATCTTGATCAGTGAAATAATTAAATTTTCGTGCATCGTAAAGTTTTGATGGTGGTACTTTTTACCCTATATGTCCATTATTCTATTTTTGATGGATAGTGGTATTCATAGCGCTATTATATCAGTGAAAATTTACACTCAGTCCAGTCTTCTCTAAAATCCTGAATCTAGACATTGGGTAAAGGTGACCTTTTTTAAAAGAGCGTCATTATATGAAAAAAAGACTTGCGTTGATTCAAAATGAAAAGCAGTTTAGTATAGACTTTTATGAGTTTCTTCATAGTAGATGTTTTGTTAATCCAAACTCATGATTGTTCAGTTGCAAATAAAAGAGAAGCTTTGGATCTCATTTTTTTGCTTTATTCTAATGGTTTTAACGAACATGTCTGTGGCGGATCTATATATTGCTCAGATATGTCGGAATCCCTTAAGCTGCATTCATGCCCAGAGGTGTGGCCGGTGGCAGGTGTAATTTAATTAGCAAGTGGGATCTGAAAAATATTTTTGAGCCCAATGATCTTACTCTTTGCTTTTACATTTTACAAAATGTTCGGGGGGGGGGGGGGGGGGGGGGAGGAGGGATCAAAATTTTAGATAGTATTGAAAATTATCGCTTATGCTGCATGCCTCCCTCCCTCCGACATACATTATGAATGCGGCCGGCTTCGTTTGAATGAACGTTCATTAGTTCTCAGTCAGTCATATTCATCAGTGCACAAGAAAGAAGAAAAGTGTACGAGATCAGAAATCATTTCTAAACAAGTTCAGAATTGACAAATCCTTCAAAACAGCGTCTGAACCTCATACGTTATTTCCTGTTCGTAGACAAAAAGGCACATAGAAAGTCAGTATTATTATTAATGTGCTATACGGATGACGAGGTAAGTCACGCTTCATGCAACATCGACTCATTTTTTAAGAACCTGACGTCTATTTATCAGTTTCCAAGAACCCGGAATACGGTGGCCCACAACTGTCACGGCAAAACAAAAAAAGTCACGGCAAAAATCACAAAACTCACGGCAAAACAAAAAAACTCACGTGAGTTTTTTTGTTTTGCCGTGAGTTTTGTGATTTTTGCCGTGACTTTTTTTGTTTTGCCGTGACAGTTGTGGGCCACCGTACTTCATTGCTTGTTAGTGATACTAAAGATAAACACTCCGATAAGAAAGATTACGTCAAAAGACCTTAAAAGAAAATTTGAAAGCGTTGAAAAAAATAAAGGTGAAAGGTGCACATTCTTTGGTATTCTAGAAGCTAAAAAAACATTGTCACACTACGAATAAGGTCTATTCTACACAAGGTCAGATCGGAAAAAAAACTTTAAAACAGCGTCTGATCCGCATTATAGGTGTTTCCTTTTCGTGGGCTAAAAACATATAAATCAGTTTAGTATTACATTATGATGATGTGGCTATACGGTGGCGAGGGAAGTTATGCTTCACGCAACAGTGACTCATTTTCCAAGAAAATACCTGATAAACAGCGCATGCGGCTACCTAAATTCCGAAAACTTACTTTTTCTTGGAAATTGGTTATTAGCAAAAAAAAAAAAACTCCTTTCAGCTTCGAAGCTCGACGAGCTACAACCAACTACCGCAAGAAACAGATGTTCAGTTTATTTCGCCCAGATACATACATGAACCAGAAATGGAAGAATTTAAAGTAAATATCAAAGTATTCAGAAATACAGGAAATGATAAAAAAAGCCTTCAGAACACCGTCCAAAGTTTCATTCAAAGTACCAACAGTGGTCATGAAATTGCAGTAGTTCAGTCGATTGAAGGAGATGGAAGACCTATTCTTGAAGAGTTCTTCGACAATCTGGGGTTCAAACTGAATCGCAACCGTTCAGCAGAAGAGAATTTGTCCAGGGAAGACTTCCTCGAGCGAGCAAACACCATGCAAGCAATCATGCCAGAGTTGACATTTCGATTATACAACTGTGACAAGATGTATGACCTTGATAAAGTCGAAGCTCTCATCACGAAAGTCACAACGAGGATGTCTCAAGAAGTCAAGATAGAGAAGACGTACTTCCCGCTTCCAGAGATGCATAAGTTGTGCAGAAAGCTTGAAGAAGAGGGAAAACATAGAGGTTACGCCGTGTTTGTCGTACATGCTGACGAACCGGGTCTCGTCATCAACAGCGATTCGTCTGCCGCAGGATATTCCAAGCTTTATCGCACACTAGCACGATTATCAGGTAAGCTCTAGGTTTAGTGTTGCTATTTTGGAGAGTAATTGTATGTATTAAGAGGAAATTTTTTCCAATAACGAGCAATAATGGGCAAAAAAATCAGGATGCTTTGCGGCCAACCCGATTATTGGAACCAGAAATCAGGAATTGTACAAGAGTTATTTTAGATTCCTGTTTCAGAAATCAGAAAACTTACTTTTCGGCACTGCCTAGGTGTATTGCATAGGTGAAAATACAAGTTTGAAGGAGAGAATGCAGGATTTTGGATTTCCGTTTCCCGAATCAGAAATCGCATTTCTGTTTTCTGAATCACGAATCAGAAATCACAATCTCGCTTACGTACGACAAAACACCACGTGTAGGGGAGGGGTGACCACTCGAAACCTCATTTTCGATTCAAATTTTTGCTTTGGGTTAACACTTTGATTCCACTTTCATCGGTCATCTCCACTTCCAAACAAGTTAAACTTTGTGAATAACAAGATTTTATCCTCGTTCAACAGCCTTTCTTCAAGAAAATAGTTTTTGGCGCTCACCGCTTGAATCCGAAGAGAATTCTCTCTTAATGTGTTAATGACAAATGGATGCACAAATGGATGCACACCATGGAATATCCCATTTGTCACATTTAAATCTTTTGAAAATACTCACTCGCCTAAGGTCTGGTATATTTTATTGAATTCCACTTATTGTAACCATATAGGTGATCGAGTGCTGATCGTGATTGGTGGAGATGATGGCTACAAAGACCAAGGAGAGCGTGACAAGTCAGTTCTGTCACGCCAGGTACTCAACAAAGTCCGTCCTCAGTTTAAAGCGAAATACTTGAACGGAATGAAAAGTTTCGTGTTCTCTTGGGATGAAAGTCACTATCCCATTCACGAAGAGGCGCTAGAGTTTTATCTGGATCCACAGAAACAGGGACAAGAATTTGTTCCTGGCTCCAAAACTGAGCCGCCAAGTTTGGCGTTACCAAAAGGTGATGAGAGAAAAAGTACTCCGCCAACCGAAGTAGCACATCAAGAGAAGGACACACCTAATACAACATCAAACAAAGGTTTGTAAACTCACCAAAAGTATAAATATGTTTAAGTCTCATGATATTTTCCCGTTCCCTTACACACACTTGTTTTGGCTTCAGTGGCGGATCCAGGATTTTTCAAAGGGGGGTTCCGTTTCTTAAACTGTGTATAATTCTATTTTGTTCAGTCGATGTCTGACAAAAAAATTGGCTCTAATTACCTAATTTTCTATCTAGTAACGGAACTTAAAGGTAAATTAAACATTATAACAGCAAATATYTATCATTTCGTGTTCAACATTATCCTTGTGGATACTTTTAAGCAAAATTTATATAAGACATATTTCTATTACCTAAAAGATCAAACCTTCAAGGGGGGTTCCGTGGAACCCTTCGAACCCCCCCTGGATCCGCCACTGGACTTGTCCTTCATTCATTCAGCTTTAGCCTTAAATATCCTAGCAAAGGTGACCTTAAATGAAGAAACTATCATAATGAAGTTTAGCCCCATTTACCACAATGGTTTCCTTCCTTCCTTCCGTTCATTCCGTTCGTTCTTTCTTTCTTTAATTTTCTTTAATTTCTTTCTTTCTTTCTTTTTTTTTACAGCCCAAGCTGCATGCAAATCACCTGAATTCCACGTGTTGTCTTTCCATTCAAAAAAGGAAACTGTATCCACTGTGGAAAACTTTCTGTCAGACGTTTCCAAAAAGCTTAACGTTGCATGCAAATCGAGCTCTCCTTATTTACTTCCAAGTGATTTTCCACAGCACATCGAGAAGAACATGCCTCAGTATGTGGTCCTGGTCTCTGAAATGAATGACTTTAAGAACATACGACACATAGATAGTTGGGTACAACTTTATCAAGATATCTTCAAAAGCATCTCGATCACTGGTTAGTTTTAGTTCTATTAGTTCTGATCCATCCATCCATCCGTCCATCCATCCATCCATCCATCCATCCATCCATCCATCCATCCATCCGTCCGTCCGTCCGTCCGTCCGTCCGTCCGTCCGTCCATTTAGTTCCCATTAATTCGTTCATCCATTCATTCAACCGTTAATGGGCTTACGACCCACCCCATGCATGCATTTTATTTCTTCTTTCTTTTTATTTCTTTATTAATTCTTTATTTGCTGTTTGCATTAATTTCCTCAACAGACAAAACCCTGGTCTTCGTGGTGTGCGGTGACCCGGTCAGCAAAGATGGTAGTTTGAGTTCTGATTTTATTCAAGAGCAATTCTCCTCTCTCAACTCAGCTATTCTGCCTCCAAGCAAGGTACTTGTGATGTCATGGGACGCCAAGCCTTGTTCTCTCCACCAAGATGCGTTACTCCAGCTTCTCAACCCTCACCATGAAAAGAAATCAAGAACCTCCGAGAAACACGATGAATCATGTCCAGCAGATGCTGAGATAGATCCCGTTAAGGGTCGTCTGCGTTACAAAGCGAGGATAAGATATGGACGAGTCGTTGAAGTACTGGAGTCAGATCCTCCTGGATGGAAACCAGAAGAATCGATGCTGAAGCAACAACTTGAGAGAAATAAGGATTTGATCAGAGGATTTCTCGAGTTCTGGGAAAATAGAAAAGGAAACATCACGGCAGTTGTTGGGCGTCCTGACCCCTTATCGAATGTGTTAGGCTTTTATGGGAAGCGGGCTTTTAAAGGCTTGTGGCAAGAACAGACGTAAACTAACCTCTTATTATGAAAAGACTCGTTTATATAGTTAGGATCCAAACCCTGTCACCTAAAGAAGGGACAAAACGGAAACTATTTGTAAACCAATAAGTCATAAATAAATGTAATGCGAAAAATTCCCAATAAGTATTACAAGGTTAACGTTAGCATTTCCAAATGATAATTAAAGTTGATTTTATAGGATTAATAATGTGATTAAGGAGAATTTTTCCGGAAATTTCATTCAGGAGCAGAGCTTCTAAAGACTTCCAGTATTTCCAAGAAATAAACATTCTGTCAACAAAAACCTGTTTGACCTGTATCTCAGTACTTGATCTGATTTCCGTTTTCGCTTCTTCAGGCCGAAAAAAATTCTTCCTCGAATAGAGGTTTTGCACCATCACGGTATCCATGTCAGATGGCAGGAACAATACAATCGTTTTACATGAGAATAAATTCAATTCCCAAGAGCAAAGGGATTTTATTGTTCTGCCATCTAACCACAGGCAGTCCAAGCTAGCATATGGGCGCCGGCACGTGATGGTCGTGCAAAACCTCTATTCTACTTTAATGATTTCATTCTAAAATCGACCCCCTAGCTCCCAGCGCTAGCCAACATGTCACTCCTGGAGTGTGTTTTTTTTTTGTTTACCTCGTCGAACGGCTTGATTTAAATACTAGTATCAGATTCGGACTCCAAAAATAAGTAGCGTGACTTTAGCGTGACACATTAGTCACCGAAGAAATAGGAATTAATTACCTTTCAGAAAAGATTTGAGGTTCAAATGATAGCATTTTGGTTGCTATTTTACATCAGATTGCGGTCTATTTTATCATGTCAGACAACATAGAAGCGAGCCGAACGAGAGACAAGCTAAAGAAGAAGCTTTTAGAGTACAAAGCTGGGAGTAAAATTGGACTGGAAAACTTTACTGATGCTGAACAAGGAGAGATGGATGATTTTCAAATCCGTATCGCGATCTTTGGGCAAACGGGGACTGGGAAATCAGCTCTGATTAATACGATTTATAAGGTCCTTTTGAGCCCTGACGAACTGCCAGAGGAAGGTGAAGTAGCGATAGTTCAAAGTGCTGGTGGTGAAGGAACGTCTATTCTTGAAGAATTCTTCCAGGAACGAGGTTTTACAGTTGTTGACACAAGAGGGTTCTTCGATATTGATAATGAATTAGAAGAGAGTAAGTTGTCTGTCTGTCTGTCTGTCTGTCTGTCTGTCTGTCTGTCTGTCTGTCTGTCTGTCTGTCTGTCTGTCTGTCTGTCTGTCTGTCTGCAGTGGCGTAACCAGGGATCTTGCAGGGGGGGGTGCATAGGCAATGATTTGCAGAACTAAAAAGCCATAAAAAAAACAGAACCAAAAAAAAAGAGGGCCATTTTATTTCCTTCGTCATATGCTAAACTGTGTAAAATATAGATGTATCAATCAGCAGTCGTCCTATTTATAGGAAATATAGGAGGTTTTCTT